ATTTAAATATTTTTTTCTGAACAGGTGTATTTGTCCATATAACTTTAATTTCCCTTTTCTGCCCTCCCCCCCCATTGTAATCTTGTAAATGTGCCTTCAGCTCACAACATACCGATTGAGAGCTTCATAGCAGACAGATGTTTATCTAAGAAGCAGTTTAGATTCCCTGCTAGCAAGCAGCTAACCAAAAGTTTCGCCAATTCAGATCTTCTTGTCCATGCCCTTCTACAGCAAGTGGAAGAGTAATGACCATTGAAGGTACAAATTCTTATGGGTTTTGGAATTTAACACTTTGTGAAAACTAGTTTCTTCAAGTTAGGCTTATTTTCTGAGAAGCAAAATGCCAGAAACAGATGTTGAGAAAATGCTGTTACCCACATAAATCCAAGCAGCAGGAAGATCTTACCAGAGGTTGCTTCATTGCAAGGTAGACAAAGATAAATCTCCTTGTAGAAAAGCAAGAATTCTAACTAGCAATTTCAAGGTGTCACACACTTGAAACTTTTCATCAGGTTATGCTGTCATAAACAAGGTATTTTGTTTATTTGAACACAAAGAGTGTAACTGGTCATGAAATTTTACCTAAGATGAGACTGTATTTCAACTTCTCTTCGTAGCTGATGCTCTACACCAGCCTCCTCAAGCTGTGTTTTAAAGAGCACTTTCAGTGCCAGAATAAATTTACTCTGCTTCTCACGCGCCAGGTACACATTTCCAAATTTTCCTTTCCCCAGAGGACGACCAATTTCAAAATCATCAAGAGACCATTGCCTTCTGTAAGAGGAAAGAACAAGTTACAAAACCTAGATACTTGTGTGGGCTTTGACTCTAGGTTTACGGTCTATAGTGTTCCTGTTCAATAGATCTTAGTGATCTTTATACCACCATCAAGAGAATAAAATATGCCTTGAGACTTTTCAAAAGAAAGTTCTGAAACCTTGTCTCTTCCTTCCTAAAGTTTACACACAGACACACTAATGTCAACCACACTACTAGAGGTTCCACTTAAACTTGAGAAGAAACTTCTTCTCAGTGAGGGTGACGGAACACTGGAACAGGCTGCCCAGGGAGGTTGTGGGGTCTCCTTCCCTGGAGACATTCAAAACCCGCCTGGACGCATTCCTGTGTAACATTATCTAGGTGTTCCTGCTCCGGCAGGGGGATTGGACTAGATGATCTTTCGAGGTCCCTTCCAATCTCTAACATACTGTGATACTATAAAATACTAAGCCAGGCTCACTTCAATACACTTAATACAGACCTATCATTAGAGCATTTCAGAGCTATTTAAGATAGCCATACTACAGGTCTAACTTCACCCTTGAACTCCAGCCTGTTGCACATATGACAGAGGCTTTGTTTTCAAGTGTGCATCTTGTGATTGGAGCAGTGGCTATCAGTGTTCTCTCATGGGAAGAGCTATTATGCATTTAGCCAAAAGTTTTCTTTAGATTACAGGAAGTTCTTGCTCCTGAGAATTACCAGGTCAAAGTAAGCTTTCCTAGTTTCATCTGCTGTCTCTATGAAGCAAGTGTAGGGCCACTGCTCTCCACAACAAAGAGGCTCAAGTAGCCTTCAGCTTAGCTGCAACCAAGTTGCAGCATGAAGTCCTAGAAGACAAAAACAAGCCAAATCCAACAGGGCTCAGTTAGCTTAAAACAATTTTGATATAAAACTTACTTTTTAGTCTCTTCTTTTTTCTGTTTAGAGGTGCTTTCTGCTTCAGAACTTTTTGCTATGTATAGAAAAGTAGATCAATTTTAAGAAACAGACCCAGAACCACAAGACAAAAATCCACATGGGAGCAAATCTAGCCTCTGTGCAGTATCTCAAGCAGTTCTTTAAATACATTCAATGACATTTTCAACAACTTACTACTGGCAAAGCAGCATAGCAGTTACCAGCAATAAAGATGTAACTTTCAAAGCTTTCTTGAAATTATAAAAAAAAAAACACTCCCCCCCCCCCCAAATACAGTATTTTTATATACAAAAGATTAACATGAATACTGGAAAAACTGATGTATGAGTACCAATTACATTAACTCACAGCCAGATGAGCATCTGCAAATTCTTAAACACTCATATTGGCCCTATATGGGTAACCCTGGCAACAAGGAGAATGCAGTAACATCTAAGCTGAAGCTGTGCTGCTGTGCTGTTTTGGGGCACAACCAAGTACTTCTCTATAAGGCCATCTCTCCATATAATCAACATCAGCTTTTTCTGCACTCCCCTCTGCTTCATAGAGCAGAAGTATCCCGAGTGTCATAACTGTACAAACACATATACATCATCTTCAGAATTACCAGGTGCTGGAGTCTGTTGAGATTTTTCATTGCTCTTGCTTGGAACTTGAGGCCTAGCAGTCGCTTGGACCGGTAATTTTGTTCGGGACTGCTGTGTTGTCTGGTGATTAGACAGTTTTTGGCTTGACAATAGAGGCTTTTGTGGCTGCACTGGAACTCGCTGAGCAAAGTTTGAAGAGCAAAGAACACGTTGCGCTTGAACTCCGCTGTTTAGTAACTGACTCTGGGAGGAATGCTGAGACACAGGGACACGCTTCGGGCCATCCCCAAAGGGATTAGCAACCTTCAAAAAGAAAAAATTATGTATTACTTGTAGAATAGCATACTACAACCCTTACGGCCACATTCATAAAGCACGAGAACACCACAAAGTACATGAACAGGAAAAGTTAGTGTAGTCTGATCTGGTTTATGATTAAAAGCATTCTTAAATTTCTAAACTGACAAGAAAGTTAAGTTTTCTACAGCAGCAAACATAGCTAGCAGAACTTTTCCACACACTTCTCCAGAACATCAGCCAAAGGTATTAAGACAGCAGATCCTTACTATAAAAACATACACTCCTTTGAGCCATTGCTTCCTTTAATGCTGGTCATCTTAACATACATTGCACTGCAACAGGAGTTCCACAGAACAAACCAAGTTCACTCAGTAAAAGCAGATAGCTGAACCTTAACCTTTTGCTTCCAATAAGAGAAAGTAGTTTGGGTTTATGCTTAAGAAAATTCTTAGTTCACAACAGGGTTGGGGTTGGAAGGGACCTTAAAGCTCATACAGTTCCAGCCCCCTGCTACAGACAGGGGCACCTTCCACTAGACCAGGCTGCTCCAAGGGCCATCCAACCTGGCCTTGAACACTGACAGGGATGGGACATCCATCTGAGTTGCCCCATTCTCTGAGGAACCTAGTTGTTCTATGATACTTTGGCTACAGTGAAGTTCAAATGCTGATTAGCTTTAACAATTTTGGCAATTATTTCCTGTGCATGGAAGCTACTGTTTCAAGAAAGCTTTCCCCCTTTTAGCTGCTTAGTACAATTGATAATTACTAGTTTGAAACCTGTAGCTCTTGTGTTATCAGGATAAACGCACCCACCAACCTAACGAGTCATTTACCTTTATAGTACGGCTGTAGTACCCAGAGGGGTTCTCCTTTGTATTCTTGTCCATAGTGCCCGAAAACAGCAACTACATGGAGCTTAGCCTACAGACAGGATGTGGCAAACAGAGTCAGCTCCACAGAAAACACCACGCCTCGGGTCTCCCCTCCCCGTACGCAAGCGCCGGGAGGCCCCAAGACCTAGCTAAAACCTAGCTAAAACTTCGCTATACCCTAGCTATACTCCACCTATACACCACAGCCACCCTGCGCTCGCAGCCTCCCGCCGGCCGGAGCTCTCCCATCGAGCACCCACGGCGCCCAGGGCCCACACAGCGCGGAAGCCCGGCTGCCGCTCACCCTGAAGCTCCGCTGCCTCCGGCCGCCACAACCGTTTAAATTCAAACCGCCCTCCCTTAAATACCCTTTAAACCACCGCCTCTCACCATTGGCCCTTCTCCCGCCGCTCGCGCCCGCTGATTGGCTGCTTTTCAACCGGCCCGCCGGCCCATTGGCTCTTCACAAGCTCCGCTCGTTGCGAGGCTGAGCCTGGCCGCCGTGAGCCTCTGGGGCGCATGCGCAACGGCAGCCTGCTGCGTACCCCGCGCGGGCCCGCCCCGCCCGCCCCGAGGGCGGTGTTTGCGCTACATGCGTATTTTACGTACCGTCTCTCCGCCGCTGGTTCCTTCCGTACTCTAACTGCGTGGACCGGCGCCGCTCGCATACTTTGCTCCGCCAAGTCTCTGCCTGCTCGGGTCTTCCGCTACGTAAATCGCGTACGCCCAGACCACCCACCTGTGGCAACGCTACAACTACCGTCCCCTCCTCGCAGCCACCGAGGCCTCGGAGCCTGCCGCCGCCGCGGGGGGAAGGGCGCCAGGTTCGTCCCGCATCCCGCGAGGCACCAGCCGCTTCCCTCTCCTTCTCCAGCACACACTACCCGCCGGCCCGGGCCGAGGGAGAGGCGGTGCTGCCACCTCGCGTGGAGCCGAGCGCGAGTGGGGCCGGGGGCCATTGTGTGCAGCCGGTGAGGTAGGTGCCCCGGTGGCAGCTCGCAGCCCCGAGGGGCGGGAGGACGGGCAGAGGGGTGAAGCAGGCCTCAGCCTCGCGCTTGCCGGGACGTGCGGCCCAGGGCAGCACCCACGTGCCGCTAGCTCTTGAGGACAAGTGCGAAGGGCTCCCCCGCCTCGGCGCAGCACAGCGCGACAGGGGACGCCTGTCCTGAGGTGGCTCCACCGGCCCGCGGACCCCTCGTGTCACAGCAGAGGTGACCCGCAGCCCGTGGCAGTGCCCAAAACCGCACGGGTTCTCGAGGAGACGCCGAGCGGCAGTGGACAATCAGCGAGCGCGGTTTGCAAGCAGCAGTGTAACAGGAGTGTGAGGCTGCTGCACTGTCTCAGCTGCCCCTGTGGTCCTGCTCACGCCTGTGAGGGGGACCTTGGCTGCCGGGTGACAAGCGGCAGCTGAAGCTAGGTTCAGTACTTCGGGCCTCTAAAGAACCGTGATCGAAGGCAACTTTTAACTGTCTCTGCGGTGTTGAAAACAAGCGCGGAGGCGAACCAGTTGTGTGTGTTGGTGTTCACAAGTGGTACAGGATAGGTAAAAAGAAGATGTCGGGTCGCCGTGTCGCTGCAGCATGTGATAGACGTCAGCTGCCACGGGGCATGGGTAGCATGGCATCCCCCCTCCTTGACCCGCGCCCGCTTCGACTGCCGTTTCTTGAGGCTGACGTGAGTAGGACTTTTCGGAGGGGGGGGCGTGCTCTCGGGGCGGGCTCGGCCTGCCGGGGTTTGAGCGGTCCGGCAGCGGGAGGTGCTTGCGGCCGCGTAGCCCAGGTGCGGGTCGGCCTGCAACGCCGGGCAGCGATATCAGCACTTGCTGTCTCACAGCCCGCTCACGTCCCCGTGTTTGGGACCGCGGTCTCTCAGCGGAAGCAGCGTTTCGGAGCTTTGCCGCTGGGACACAAAAGCACCCGGCTCCCCGCCTCCCGCCAGCAATCGCCCTCCTGCTGCGAGCCGGGGACCTGCCGCCTGCGTCCCGCCCTGAGCGCGGCTGTGCCGGCTCGGGCCAAGGCCCCGACCTCCCCGGAAGGGGAACGGGAAGGGGACGTGGTTTGGGACCCCGGGCGCGGCCGCTCCCGCCCCGCCCCTCCGCGCCGTGCGGGGGCTCCCTCGGCGCGTCACAGGTCACGTGACACCGGGATTTGCCAGGGCCCGCGCGTGGTGTCACGGTCATGTGATTTTGCGATTCTCTCCCTTCAAGAGTCGCCTCCAATCGATCTGCGGGCGCTCGATGCAGCAGCCTTCGCGGAGGAGCATTCTTCGGTCCCGGCCGCCGCCGCCGCCTCCTCCCTTGCCGCCGCCGCCCATCGATGCGCTCAGGGCTCCGGTCGCCATTTTAGGGGGAGAGCGAGGGAGGCAGAAGGAAGGGTCGGTAGGTACCGGGGCTGCGCCGCGCTGTCCCCCGCCTTCGGCTCCGCTGCCCGTGCCGCGCCTCGCCCTCGGCAGCTCCCGCCCGCAGCTGCCCGCCCCTCCCCCGGCGCTGGAAGCCCGCGTACTGTGGCCTCAGCGCTCCAGCGAAGCACTCCCCGCCCTCATTCAGCCCCTTCTCCCCCACGCCCCCTCGCTGCCCGGTTATTGGTCCCCGGAGCCGGTTACGGGCCGTGCAGCCCGGGGCTGTGAGAGGGTTTGCGGGCGGTGGGGAGGATGCGGTGTCCCGGGCTGAGAGAGAGGGAGGGAGCGGGTCGGGGCGGCGGGAGGGTGCCAGCGTTGGGCTGCCCTGCGTGGTTTGGGTCGATCCCCTCCCCAGTGCCCGGGGCCGCCTTCTGGCGAGGCTCAGTGGAAGGCCTTTGACAGAATCATTCTGCTAACTAATGCCGCATTATTTCTGTCTTCTCCATTGCTCCTTAATATACAGTTCGTGCTCTGTTTATTGGTGAGGTTTTAATTTCTACAGCAGACAAGTGCAACAGGTTTTTCCTTGCCTTTTGTTTTTTCTTTCAGTCTCTGATTCTTACCTAAAATAAAGGTGTCTGCACTGAAATTGGGCAGGATGTGCTTTATTTGAAGGTTGTGCTTTTTTTCATGAGACTCTCTTGTATGTAATTTTTCTTCTTTATTTATTTCAGGCCCCTCCAAGGCATTCCTTGCTCACAATGTATAGAACAAAAGTCAGTTTGAAAGACCGTCAGCAACTTTATAAACTGATAATTAGTCAGCTGCTTTATGATGGATACATAAATATTGCCAATGGCTTGATAAATGAGATAAAACCACAATCAGTCTGTGCACCATCTGAACAACTGCTGCACCTAATTAAGTTAGGTAAGCTGCAATAAAAAGCTAACATAAAAGTCTAGTTTCTAAATCTCTAGTTTAAATCCTTGTGAATTAAGAGGTTAGAGTTAACTGACAATATGTCTTTTATGCAATGGTTATGTCTAGTAATAGCATAACACTTCACATACTTAGATAAAGCCTTTGCCTCTGTGGCTTTTTTGAAGGGCATTCTGGCTCTGTGTTTCATTGTTTAGTATGCATTAAAAGCAAAACATCACGTAGTCAAAATCCCTTTGTTTGCACTTCTGTGCCACATAAGAATACTTGCTCAAGGTCCTGGGTGACTGGCAACCTTCTGAAAGCACATTCCAGTAAACAGGATCACGGTGTCCACAGACCTAACAGTTCTGTGCCAGACCCACACAGTTCTGTGCCAACTTTAGAGATATTTTCTATATGATTCTTCCTGACAATGCTGGAAAGGGAGCAAGCCCTTCCATTGGCAGTCTTTGCTAGCCTTGGTGTATCAGTCTCAAGAAAATTAGCTTCACAATCTAGGGTCTCAGCAGAGGTGTTGCCTGGTCTCTCTCTGTGCATTTTTCTCTCTGAAAGTACATCTGTGCCCCAGTATGTAGTCACAACACCAGAGCTGCTGTTGAAACAAGCTGACTTAAGATACTGGAAGAGGTCTAGCCATGCCATCATTGTATTGTAACTGAACTGGTTCTGCTGCCTGAACTAGTTGACTTCCAAGGTTATAAATATGTGAAGCCCTGTTTCTGAAATAAGAATGCTAGACTTGCAATTTGTAGATGAAAGCAAGAAAAACTTGCATTTGATGGATCGATGATCAAAGTTGGGCACATAGCTGGAAATTCTTGTGTCTGCTCTGTTACCACTTCCAGTGCTGAACTCTCTTCATAGATGCATCCTGAAAATAAATAAAAATCTATAGGGTGGGTGTGAAGAGGAGTAAGTGTTTCTGTTTGCAGTGCTGCACTAGTTATTGTTGGAGCAGAGGGTTTTTTTCCCTTCAGTGCAGTGAAACAGAAAGAAGATTTGGTAAATGCTTCAGTCTTTTATTTTAAATCTCATGTAACAGGGCTCCAGCTTGTTTCTTCCTCTGTGAAAAGCTGCCAGTGGCTTCACAGACTTGATTGTCAATGCATTTGTCATTCTACTCTCATACTGTCATTCTACAGTATTTGCTGGTTGTATTTTCACAGTTAATTTTGAGAACTGTGTTCTGCTCTATGGTAGCCAAATTACTTCTCACTCCTCATAAGAAGTACTGCTGTGTCACTAAATCTGCTCTGCTAGCTTAGCCTTGTTCACCAGGAGCTGCCTCTCAAAACCTGACTTGTAGCTGTTACCAAAGCCTATGGCATAGGTATGGCCACAGCCTATCTGTCTAAGGAGAAGGTTAACCTGGTTTAAGTGCATCAACTTCTCTCTTTCAGGAATGGAGAACGATGACAGTGCTGTTCAGTATGCAATTGGACGGTCAGATACAGTAGCTCCAGGCACAGGAATTGACTTGGAATTTGATGCAGATGTACAGACCATGTCTCCCGAGGCTTCCGAATATGAGACTTGTTATGTCACATCTCACAAAGGGCCGTGTCGTGTAGCTACATATAGCAGAGACGGACAGTTAATAGCTACAGGATCTGCTGATGCCTCAATAAAAATTCTTGATACAGAGAGAATGTTGGCCAAAAGTGCTATGCCTATTGAGGTAAAAATACGACTTGAATCGTAACCACTGTGTGAATTCTTGAGGTGCTGTCTGTTTCATGCTGTGTCTGTGCCTTGTGGCTGGTTCAGTGGGTTCTGTCTCGCCATATTTCCTACTCCAACAGCGGCTCATAAAGTACCCTTGAAGAGAAGGAAGAAGAAATAGGGCAAGTGTACCTGTGTAACTTCTGGCAGCAGTCCTAAGAATTGAGCCAGAGATTGCTTCTAATAGATGCTGATAATTGTTACACTGTATAAACACAGTTCGTTTTTGAGCCCACATATACCTTTGCCCTCCACAGCCTCTCGTGGCTGTGTGTTCAGAACTGTTTCACATAATACATGTTTATTTGCATCATTTTTTTTTCTCCAGTATGGTTACTAGGTAGTAGTTTAGAAGTGGGTGAGTTGGGGTGCTTTTGCGCAGAGCGCACACCAAATTCTCAGCAGTATCCTGTGAGTAGAAATTGCAGTTTTCCCAGCTGGTACAGTGTCCCTTAATTCTTACAGCAATACAGTATTTTGGTTTGGACTACTTATGACAGTGGTATGTTTTCTTGCATGCATTCTCTGCTGCTGAAACTAGCGTGTCCTTGAGCAAGTCAGTTGACCTTTGTAAAGATACAGGGATCTTATATGATAACAGTGTCTGATGGGCCTTCAAATAACCGAGATAATGGTGATATGTGCCTAGGCATGTGTCAGAAATGTAGTTGTTTAGCTGCTCTGGGAAGCATAAAACCTACTTTTTCTGTTAAAAAGCATGTTTACTTTCTAACACTCACTTGTTCAATGTTCTTTGTAGGTCATGATGAATGAGACAGCACAGCAAAACATGGAAAATCATCCTGTTATTCGAACTCTGTATGATCATGTGGATGAAGTTACGTGCTTAGCTTTTCATCCAACAGAACAGATCCTAGCATCTGGTTCAAGGGACTACACACTTAAGTTATTTGATTATTCAAAACCTTCTGCCAAAAGAGCCTTCAAATACATACAGGTTAGATACGATACCAGTTCAGAGCAACCAAAGCTTGAATGTATATGTACTTGAGGTATCAGTAACCTGAATTGTGTCTGGGTTTATAAGTGCTTAGGTTTGTAGGAGTATGCACATACAAAATGTGGAGACATTATGGTAAATACGTGTTAAGAGTTCGTGCATAATGGATACCTGCGTTCCTTAGATCTAGTGCCTGTCTGCTTTTTGTTAATTTAGATCTGATCTGGGTAACTCTGATGTCAATTATATTATCTTCCTTTTGGAAGAGTTTGGGATTATGTGGTGGGCTTTGGGGTTTGTGACTGGCTGATAGAACCTCCTGTCACTCTTGTGCAATATCCCAAAAATGAGCAGGCATTGCAAGCTGCTTCAGGACAAGAAGTAAGGCAGCCTGTCATTTTAATCCTATGGGAAGCATTTTCTATTTTGAAACAAGCAGAACACATTGTGCTAACGGATAATTTAACCAGGCTTTTAACACTTTAATGCCACCAGAATTGAATGGCAGAATGCCACTTCCATTTCAGACTTTTTTCTTACACCAGTTATGTATTTTTGATCAAACAGGAGGCAGAGATGTTGCGCTCAATTTCTTTTCACCCTTCTGGAGATTTCATACTTGTTGGTACTCAGCACCCTACTTTACGACTGTACGATATCAATACTTTCCAGTGTTTTGTGTCTTGCAATCCTCAAGATCAGCACACTGATGCCATATGTTCAGTAAATTACAACACAAGTGCAAACATGTATGTGACGGGAAGTAAGGATGGATGCATCAAACTGTGGGATGGTGTTTCGAATCGCTGCATCACTACTTTTGAGAAGGCACATGATGGAGCTGAAGTCTGTTCTGCTATTTTTTCCAAAAACTCAAAGTATATCTTGTCAAGTGGAAAAGACTCTGTAGCTAAACTATGGGAGATATCCACTGGTCGAACACTGGTCAAATATACAGGTATGTGGCAGGTGACCTTCCAGGTACCTTCCCTTTCAGGTACTGACCCACAGCAGGGTAATATTGTCAGAGGAACCAGGAGTTCTTAAAGGCACTGGGAGACTGCTGCTTTGAGGTTAAATTGCCCCAAACTTTTGAAAACATTTAAGTAGACTAATTCCAAAAGAGAAACTGTGATTCCTGTATGTCCATCTGTGTAAATGTATTTAGTTTGAGTGCATTTTGGAGACTTTTCTGACACTGTTACTCCATTGCTTTGGAGGGAAGTTGTGACTAAATTAGGGAGAAGTAAGAAGGAGGGCTGCTCTGAGGACCACTTGTGGAGAGAGTTTAGAAACAATGATTATTAAAACAAAAATACATCATCACTTTCCTGGCTTGAGTAGGGACACAGCTTAAACTGGAATGGTCAAAACCGAAACCTAATCCATTTCTGGCTAGAGTAGGCCACGTTCCCTCAGAGCACCCACTCAGACACAGGTAATTGAACCTACTTTGTGGCAGTTTTTTAACGATTAAACTCTTGTGCAAAAGATGGCTCTAGTAAGGTGTGGCAGTATTCTGAAATAGCTACAGCTGGTTGGTTTCCTTTCCATTGTATGCAAGGTGGTCCTACTCAGAGCATTCTGGCAATGCCATGCTTTGATCTCTGCAGGACTTAAACGGTGAAGGATGCAGAAGCTTTGCATACAATAGCAGCTAAGTGACAGGGAAGCTTTTGAGTCAAGCACTAATGTGCTTAAGCATTAGAAGTCATAGCATAAAAGACGAGAGGATGTTGAAAATGTTACCAGCTTTTGGGATGTGTATGGTCTTTTTCTGTATGCTAGCTCTGTCTGCTCTCAACCAGCAGAGTGCAGCACCTCCTTGATAAACTTTGGCAACATAACTAGGTAGGATGCTGGTGTGTGCATTGCAGAGTAAATGCCTATACAGGAAACTACATGTTTTATTTGAAGGGTTTGGAGGGGAAGTATGGCCAAGTTAGCCCATACAGTGCCATATGATACGTAGATTAAAACCAAAAGTTGTCCTTGGTAATGAGAATCTATGTATTTGACTGTCTGTGGTACTCTGCCTTAGTTACAGCTGTAAGCCTCATACAAAATATATAAGGCAGAAGTGCTTTTAGTTAAGTGACTGCACTCATAGCGAGTGGCTGGACATGACTGACACAGCTGGAGTAGTTAATCTTTCTGTCCTTTAAGAGGTTTTAGAATTTGCTGTGTATATTAACTGTTCATTATTGACTCACCTGTTGTATGTGGAAGCAGTAGACTGAGAAAATAAGGCTCCTTTATAGACTGCAGAAATTGATGCTTATGGGAGGTTTGTTCTTAGGTCTTTAGAAACTTCCGAAAACTGATCCTGTCTGTGTTAATATTTTGCTGCACGTATTTAGGAGCTGGTTTGAGTGGACGACAAGTACACAGGACACAAGCTGTCTTCAACCACACAGAAGATTATGTGCTGCTTCCGGATGAAAGGACCATAAGTCTCTGCTGCTGGGACTCAAGAACTGCTGAAAGGAGAAATCTTCTTTCTCTGGGGCACAACAGCATTGTCCGTTGCATTGTCCATTCTCCTACCAATCCTGGCTTCATGACCTGCAGTGACGACTACAGGGCTAGATTCTGGTACAGAAGGTCCACGACAGACTAAGGACTTTATAAAACAGTGATGCTCCAGATTGATTCTATCATCTTGAATTGATTGTACTGCCGACAGATGCCTACAAGAAAGCTGTGCTGTGTCTGGTCTTTCATTCTGTCAAGTGTGGCAGAAACAATATCAAAATACTGAGACTAAGTTTTGCCCCATGCTAATTTTTTTTATTAGTGTGTGTGGCTAATTTTTTGTCAGTCATCTCCAATTGTACTCAAGGAGTGGAGAGGGGAAGGAGGGGGGCAAAGAATAAAATGATCCTTGCAGAAAGGATTAAACTTGTTTTCCTGTCTTTCTAAATCCCACATGACAATAATGTGACTGTATCTTGCTCAAACTGGGCAGTGTGAGCCAGTTTTGCTCTGCATTGTATCTGTGCAATCCCACCGAAGTCTGTTTAAAGAATGGATTACACAAGTAACAGCAGAACTTGGCAGATACTTTAATGAAGCCTTAAGCTGCCTTCAGTTCTGATCATTCTTTGTAAAGCTGTTTTGTATTTTTTTTGTCGGGGGGGGGTGTATTTTATTTTTTTTTTTTTTCAATTATTTTCCAAGTGTCCCTTCAGTTCTGAGCCGGTTTTGTGCCATAAGAACTTGGAACAGGATGTTAAAACTGTTCAGATGAATTCCGGAAATGGTGTTCTCGTTCTGGTATTAAAGCTCAGACTTAAAATCGGGTCTTGCTTTGAATTTATCTTGACAAGTGGGATCTCAAAATGAATTCATGGTATTTCCAAGAAATATCCACATTGCAAATGTAAAATGTGCTGTGGCATGTGAAAATGAGAATAATTTTGCCGTCAAGAAGCTGTTGTGCATATTAATTTTCGTATGTGTACCTCAGAAATGTCATTTTGCTTCATTTTATTGAGTAGTTTTCATTCTGTTACACAGCACTTGAATTACATTTTTTCTTCATTATTCAGAAACCCAGACTCAGTGTTTCTTCTCCTTGTTACTGCTATAGTCCAAGTATCCCAGACCATGTCCCATTCAGCAGGAGTACAGGTTGTTAAGGACCTGTGCTTAAACCTTCTGTAACTTTGAAAATTCACTGCTTATTTTACAGGGAGTTGCCTGTGCAAAGCGTTAAACAATTGAGGCATCTTTGCACAGTGCTCTTGGGCTTCATATATGGGAGGCTTCCTCTACTCAAAAGCTCAGCACTTGCCTTCATGAGGATTTTTAAATGTAAGAAAGATTACTCTTACTGCTGCATTAACTCCCCATTCCCACTGATGCTCATCAGGGGCTGACGAGGGTACAGGTTTTCTCTGTATTTAAATAAAAATTACCTTTTAAAAAGTTACTTAACATATGAAGGAAATGTATTGGTTTTCTATATAACGAAGAAGAAAATTAATAGTGGAAAGCTGTGTCTTTGGGGACATGTTGAAGCTTGATGAATTCATTTGTTGTGTTTCAACTGTACATTTGCAGTGTATGGGATTGTTTTTTAAAAGAGAGAATGCAGGTTTTTTTCTCTTGAAAGCTGCTGCTCTGGAAACGTTCCTTAGGCTCAGCAATGCTATCATGAGATAGCAGTTCTGGTGGCTCTTCGTGGAGAAACAAGGAGAGTGCCTCTGTGCTCACTCAGTGGCAGCCACCCTCCTCTTGCAGCCTGCCTGCTAAGCTGATAGCACTGGCAGTGCTGAGGGCACTGCTGCATTCGTGTCAGTTCCATTAAAGAGGCCTTAAGTAACACATCTATTATTGGTGTTTGGACTCTTTCTATTTTAAAGACACTTTAAAATAGTAGTTATGGAATATAGAAATGTAGTTGTAAAATGTAGGAATAGTTCTGTTCATTCAACACAAGAACACCCTGCCACTGGCACCTTTCTTACTTTTCATATCATGTTCTTTCTTACTTTTCATCATCTTGCTTGAGGCCAGAAGTTTAGGGTTTTCTGTTTAAGAAATAAGGGCTGGAAGAAACTTAAACTCATCCTATTTGGGTAGATAATGCAATCCTGGAGTGAAATGGTTTAGTGCTATAGCATCCTAGTGGTGGTCTGAAGGTGGCTGGGGGGGGGGCAAGGCACTGGGAGCAAGCAACAGTGTAAGTGAAGAGGAGCTGTAGCTGCCTTGTGGAGAACAAGGTTGTGTGCACACGTAGTCACCCTGTTTGATCTGCATTTGCTTGGAGGGAATACATCCTTCTGCTGTGCAAGTCTGCAAGTGTCTCAGTAAACGTTCTTTATGTGATCATACTTACTGCTACTGTCAGAGAAGCTTCACACACAGAAGCTGTATCCATCTATTGAAGCTCCAGTGCAGCCACTTGCCCTTCATGAGTTTTGCAGTCTGTGCCTCTCAGTAGCTACATCCCAGAGCAGTGCTCTCATACTCGGGATTTACCACCTCCTCAAGAAAGCCTCTGTCACCTGTCTAAAGGTCTGTTGTGTATGTCTGGTGTGTAACCTACTCTTGCTTCTCAGAAGAAGCTGTCATGGAAGCATGGCGAGATGATACCACAGCTAATGCATTCCGCCAGAGAAACACGCGGATGTGAGAGCAGCTTTGGAGACAACCGTAACTCCGGATTTGTATCTCTCGGTTCTCAGCATTCCTCAGCACACTGATTTGGCGCTGATGGCACCCAGCTCTCGGGAAAGTCTTTCCTATAGGGCTCCTTCTGGAATTAGGCTAATTTGCCACCCTTTTAAACAGATTTCAAACTTTATACTGAAGAGGGTGTTCTGGGCTGGGATGGATATTTCTCATTTCGTGGACACAGAGCCTGGCTTTCCATGAGAGCTGCCAATGAGACTGAATCCCAGGAAAATGAAGTGCAATAAAGTCGTTACGATGGTTGTAACTGAGGTTAGGAGGTTCTTCAGCTGGCTGTAAGGGACCCTTCAAACTTGGTGCAGCACAATTGCTCTACTCACTGAGTGGATGCTGCAAGCCAGGAGTCAAATGCATTCCCTTGTGTTTGAGCCTTGGTGCAGCTGAGGGGGAGTCTTTCACAGCCTTTACCACAGGAGTGGATGGCAACATGTAAGGTTTCCCCAAAGCCCCTTTATAAACAAATCCATATCAGTGTCTTTGAAAGGCATAAAGACTGCTGGCTTCAAACTCCTGAATTGATACCGCTGTAGCAGTCCTATTTCCATCGAGCACTGCGCAGCCCTTGTGGTACGTATTATTCTTGTGTTCGTTCCATTTCTAAAAGAGGAAATACAGGAACATGCAGCAAACCCAAAGGGTGAGACTTCTGACTGCGGTTAATTGCGACAAGTTGGTGACAGTGAGACCAAGGAAAATTCCACTTGCAGACAGGCTCTTTTTCTCACAGATGCTAACGGGGCTTTTCTGGTTTGTGCTCTGCCCCTTGTAGTCTTGGCTGTTGCCACAGAAATTGCCTTTCATGCAAATCTTTTCTACAAGTTCCTAAATGCAGATGTGCTTTCTTGAGACGTAGCTCCTAACATACGGAGACTGGGCAAAGGCAGAGTCTCTCCCTCCTGCCGTGGTTATCTGCAGTGCTCCAAGGGATGTGAATGACAGCAATGGATAAACACGTGAGAATCAACAGAACTGCAAAGGTAGGTCTGGTTTTCTGAGTACAGCGTATAAACAACTAAGACAAATGGGGCCTAGAGAAGGGTTTGATGTTTAATCCAGCATGGCGCTGCTGATGTGGGAAATGCTTGGTGTTCTCTTGAGCCGCACAGAAAGCTCTTTACGATGCCCATGTACTCACTGTCTCCTGGTGCTCTCTGTTGCTACAAAGCTATTAACCATAAGGAATGTCTTCCTGGGGAGGGCTCTGAATAAAGCAGGCTCCCCAGGTAGCACATACCTGTGGATAAACACATTTGTGAGATAGTAAATATGTACCTTCAAGCTTCCAGCAATCTTCCTCTATCCTGTAGTAACATTAGAGACGTGGTTATGCTGTCAGAGACTTCCAGTGACAGTCCAGGTGACTTGCTGTGTGATAGATCATTTCCCTACGTTACACACAAACCATTTTGAATACTGTATTTGTTTAAAGACTGGAACAAGCTTATGAGGGGGTTGGCTTTTATTTGTGTATTCCTATTGCATCTGCTGTAATTTTATGTATATATTCATAGATAAAATACCCTGCTGTAGCTATAAGGGTTAGAGAATGCTGAAGTCTTGATCCAAAGTCAGTGCCTTGATTGTGCTCCTGTCTGCAAGTCTAATGAGCAGGGAATTATTAGTTTCATCCTGGGTTATGATCTCAGTGTTCATTGTAAATAAACTGCATTCTGGAAATTTGAGGCGAAACACAGTGGGGTTAAAAAGCTCAGTACCAGCACGGTGAGTCCTTTTTTTGCACTCAAAAGTTGACATTGAGGCATGTAAAGCTAAGAGGACTCTTCTCCATGTGAAGTAATCAGAAATGATGTTTTTAATGACACAGAATAATACGATTTCTATACAAAGAATGGAGTTTCTATTTCTAAGAATGATATTTTCAGTTTTCTGAATTGGCTAAAGAAATGTAATGGTGGTAGCAAGCTCATTTCCCATCTTGCCGTGCGATCTTCAGACATGGCCACAGCACACCCAGTCAAATTCAGCTGAGTAACAACTGAAAAAGTCCGATTTATTTCCACTATGTAATTTATTAGCTGTTTCTAAGGTTCCTGCTCCCCTGGCAGTGCTGTTCATTGTAATAGTTGAATGTGACAACACAAAAACAACAGGAATGTGTCTTTTCTACTAGCTGGACTTGAAGCGCCACATGCCAACCATCAGTAGCTTTGGTGGGACAGGTAACGCTCTGCAGTTACCACCGTGCCCAAACTATCCCACCTTCACAAGGAAAACTGGTTCTGAAATGAACCCAGGGCACAAGCAGAGCTGGAGAAATGATGCAACTCCTTTCTTGTTGCACATACACCTGCGACACAGTCTGCACAGGAAATGTTGCACCTTGTGGTGCAATCTAAAACAGTTTGCATGACGGCCTGCGCTTAGGAAAGTTCTTGTACTGTTTGGCAACATTGTCTGTTGCCAGAGAAAAATAGGAGAGGGTTTTTAAACACGCATTAAGTTGGTAGGAGGTTTTCTCCCCTTCCAAAATGCCCAGTTCACATATTCCCATCCTGTCGGCAAACAAGTGCGATGTGGTTATGTGGGTGATGTGTGCACCCACAGCCCCAGGTGCAGGCCATCACCCCCCAGGCTCCATTTCCAGCACCTGGAGGTAGATAACGTGATTCAAAATAGGATTTGCCAAAGGTGATGCACTGAACAAGGAGTTCCTTAGCCAAGAGAAAATACTGGAGAGTCTCCATCTTCCTCAGACGATAAATCTGGGGCTGTTCTCAGGCATGCAGTCAAGCAGAAGTGGCAGTCAGGATGCAGTCAAGATGCAGTCAAGTCAAGTGCCCAGCTTTCCTGGGGAAATCTTACATGTAAAACTTCAGTTGTGTCATGGATGGAACAGTCCTGACCCAGGGAATTTTAACATCATGTAATTTATGCCAGTTAATACAAACTTCTAATCACTGGTGTGGGTGGCGGAGGTAGAACCATGGACAATTAAGCAAGCACTTAAGTAAACACCTTCGGGGGGGGGGGGGGGGAATACGCTCTGTCCGCTCCAGCTTACAGAATCCCAGACTGGTTTGGGTTGGAAGGACCTTGCAGCTCACCCAGTTCCACAGGCAGGGACACCTTCCACTAGAG